CAGCAAACAGAAAACTTTGCGGTAATTTCGTTGCAACAGTTGGTCCAGCCGACAGGATGGAGCACCGATGGCAGCGTCAACGTCACGACCAGCAGCAACATGCAGCAACAGCAACAGCGACAGCAGCAACAGAAGCCCGTTCAAGTTGACTAATTGAGTTAAGCGTGGGGCAACAGGAATCGCGCTAGGTGTTCTTCCTTTACCTTTCACAAATAATAATTTGCCAACAACTTTAAAGTGCATCAATCATAATTAGAGGCCGCCAATTTTCTATGTATTCAGAAGTTCGTTTGACAATATGCAGATGAAGTCGGCCAATTGCCAACAGCTGCCAATAATAAGAATTTGTTTTCAATTATAAACAATGGTATTGCCATTAAATAAATAAAAAATGCAACAATCGAGTCCCGATAATTCGAAATGGCAAGGGGATCAACTTTGTTCCGATTTGCACAGTAATTCAGATAATCCAAAATTATCTAGGACTTTTTTAAGGAGATTTTTGTTCGATTTATCGCGACTTTCGATTCGGTACAAGCTATCGAGACTCGACTGTATCTGATATCGGTTGCACCATCGATAGTTCTGAAATTTACTCAATGAATTAAATGAAGTAACTCAATTTTTAATACATGTATAAAAAGGTTTCACATTTATGTACATATCTTCATTATATGTCTAAACTCAAGAAATTCAATTTATCTCATGAGACTAGATAGACATAACCATAATGGTTCCCCGCCTGAAGATGAAAATTAAAAAAAAAAAATGTTCTTCAAATGCTAAATATTACCCATTTTTACTTGTTTCTTGATTGCAATGCGTGGGCCTCCTCATAGCCTTGCTGATGCAGCAGAATCTTGACTAATTGTATTTATCGGCTTGAGATGCTACTTAAGCACCGTCTGATGCGACCAAGGATCGATTCCTTTGTGCTCTGAAGCTGCTGTCGCTCAATTGCCGTCGCCGTTCATCACTTAATTGAGTTTTTAAGCATTTCGCAAGTGCCGCGCATTAGCGCAGCGAAGCGAACATCCCGCACATCCACGACCCGGCGACAAGGCCCGGAGCACCGAAAATACCCCGACTGACGACGGCTGAGCTGTGTCGTGGAGGGTCAAACAGCTGCAGATGTATGTAAATGCAGATGCAGTCGCTGACGAGGAGACAGAGCGTCTGTGCGACATGCTTATTGGCATTGGCAGTGTTGCATAACGGCCGAACCCATTCTGCGGCAGATACCCGGCAGCGCTTTGCAATCAGCCGGAGTTCCGCTTACCCCGTTTGCCATGCAGCTTAAATGAGCGAGAAATCGCTTTATTTAGCAGACAGCCGCCCAGGCGAGGGCCCGGCTGTACGAGGAGTGCGATTCGCAATCACCTCACATAATCGACTCATGTCTCATACGGCTATCCCATATTATCTGGGCTGTGTTGCTTTCGATTGAACTTAAGTACAATTTGGTCACTCGGCAGTCAAGGGCCCGAGTCGAACCATCCCTTCCTATTCATGCATATTGATAATCTGAGACGCTTGAATGCTCATTTAGTCAACTTGAAAGGAAGCCCGAGTATCCAAGCACTTCGACCCAGCTTGGACTTTTTAATCATGCGTGAGCGGTCAGTTCTAGGCTTGTCTCCATTTTCATTTTGCCGTTTGATGTAGGGACCTGGCTTCACTTTATCCTCTCGGCCCCATTCATTCACTGTTCATTTTAGGGCTCGGATAAGGCTCGTTCCCAGCGCAGACACTTTTCCAATCAACTTGAGTGTGTGTCCTGTCCCAAGCTACTGCTGCTGGCCATTTTCCTGCTGACTTCGTGCCGATTTTATATTTTTCATTTGAAAAAAAAAAAGATGTTTTTTAATGCCTTTTATTAAATCGGCTTAGATTTATTGTGCACATGTATATCATATTTATGTGTGCGTCTGTGTGTGTGTATGTCTATACACATTAGTCGTCGATTCCTTCTGCGTATGTGTGTGTGTGTGTGGCAGCTAAGCCCTTTTCCTTGGGACTTTGCTGCGATGGTGAAATACGTTTATGGATCTTAAGCCAAATTTTGTGCATATAATACGATTTATTATTTTGTGGGCCGCATCAAATAAATGGCAACGTTGTAGTTGAGGTCTTAGACAGCATTTAATTTCGCCTCCGCCTGGAGTTAATCTAATGAACAGGCTAAGCCTATATCATGCGAAAGGATTGTGCACTGATTGTCTGTAAATGAATTCCGGCCATGATAATCAAAGAAACTTTGCCTGCTCGGCTGCCCTGCGTAGACAATATTCATCACTGCCAGCACACCTGCCCATGCTGCCGAGCTGTTCAGCAGATTGGCTCTTAGCAGCAATTGGGAAGCCAATGCCGCAGATACATGTGAAAAGCATTTGATCTCTCGCACAGGAGGCGCTCAAGGGGGGCGATTACATGAAAAAGTTTTGCAGTTTGCTGCTGAGAACATGCAAAATCTTTTTGACTAAACATATTTATGCAATAAAACTTTTAAAGCACAATGAGCCCCAGACATTCACAAGATGTGTCAGCTTGCAACGTGTGCTGGGCTTGTCGCAACGCAGACTTCAAAGCCAACATCAACAAGTTAGCAGCCTCCAGTTAGCCTGTCACATGAGCCAACTAACCGCCAGCCGACCAACCAATCAAAAGACCGACTCAGCAGCCGTGCGGCGTGCTTATGAGAGAAATTGCATTGAGAGCGGGTAACCGAAGTTGAATCAGGCATGCGAAAATTTTGTATTTGGGTTGTGCAAATAATTGTCCATGATTGGATATTCGCAGTCGGTCGAGCCACTGTGGAACCCTTTGACCCAATATCCCCTCTCAGCTCTCGGCCAGCTGCGAGCAATTAAACGCATTGTATGGCTTTTCAACTTGATTAGATTGCAATTTTGCATTGCACATGCACGAAAAATTCATGGAAAATGTTTGTTTTTCTCCGTTCGACGATTCGGGCATGCACATTGACATTGCAGGAGCAGCAGCTGTATATAAAATGGGAGCATTGGAATGTAGGTGATGCTCTGGCGAATCTAGCAGATACATGTGTTCATTTAGTTAAGTTTTGTGCCCAGCAGGAAGTGTTGTAATTCGCACTTCACCACACACTTACACCCACATGCCCAAACGCACACACACATGGACACACACACACACTCAACCACATACCGATTAACATGTCGCATGCATGATTGCGGAATATTAAACGCCGGCCATGTTTTTAAGCAGCTGCAGGGGCGGGCGAGCTCGGCGGGGGCGTGTGTCTGTTGCGTTGTCTATACGCAAAATTTGTTTGGTTGCTTTGGTTTTAATTATGGCTATCACTGCTGGCTCATATCTGCAAAATATGCACTACTCACACTCTTTTTGTATCCAGTCTCTGCTGGTTCGCCTCACATTGGGTCATGTCGTGAAATTGGGCAAAATGTTCGTCCGTGGATTGACATTGGATTCGATAGCATGGACAGGCTCTTATGTTGTGCAGCGCAGATAGCCCAACAAGTTCATGATCGTATTAACGATTGCAAATTGACGGAAAATAATTATATATTATTTTGTTTTTTATATTATCTCAATTCGCAATGCATAAATATATAAAAAAAATACCTCTTTGCTGGAATTATATTGAGGCAGAAGACAGAGTCGACCTATTTCAAAGTAATTACAAAAATTTGCTGCCCAGAGGTTAGCATCAAAATAGTTTTAAGCTATGAAAAGGCCTTGGCAAACAAAGCGAATCTCTCGAAAGAGACTTTTTATAATTTGGTCAAGAAGTTGTATGCACAAGTTGTCCCGCACAACCACACAGCCACACAACCACAAACCGCACACAACCGTACATAAACTAATGAAAAGCTGACTTAAAAGGGAGACTAAATTAAATATTTGTGCAAGAAATATAAATTGATATGAAATATTCGAAGAAACAATGCAAATAAATAAACGATTCAATCAAAAGATTGACTTTCTGTTTGAACATCCCCAAATTCTTAATAAAAAATTGCAATTCTGATTCGAAACACACTTCATAGCTGTCAATGCCTATGCATAGGGTTGAGGACTTTGATTGGCAATTGTTTGGCTTTTGAGCTGAACTCTTGCCCGAGTTGCTTGGAGCGTTGAAGGCAAAGTTTGTCATCAAGGCAGACGCCGTCACTCATTAAGCGTTAATTAGGCATTTGGCGCATTTGACCTTTGCTTAACTTTTGCTAAGCGGCGCCTGGGGCATGAGCCAACACCTTTTTGATGTTACCCGGCTGACTTTGGGCCTGGGAGGAGTTGAGTGAATCAAACTAATTGGGCGCAATTTAATTAACATTTGATGAATTCATCGGCCATTTGTCAGATTCGGGTAGCAGCAGCTTTAAGTAATTTCGTAAGATCTAGAAGAGAACTTTTTAAATACAAAAATCCTCAGCCACAAGAGTAAACAGGGCAGAGAGGGAAAAAAAAGAAAGCATGAGAAAAAGTTGTAAAAATTTGATAAGCTTGTCGCTGGGCAGGTGGGGGAAGGCTCCAGTTCTATGCCTACGCCACGATGGGGCCTGCCGAGCAGCGTAAGGTGAGCTGCAAGGAAACTTATCCCTAATGTTTATTGGGCAAACTTTTGCATTTTTACAGCTTCTTGAAAGTTCTGCCGCGGTATGGCTGGTCATTTTAAAGTTGAAATTATCGAGATAGCCCAAGTTTTGTTTGCCTAAGAGGCTGCAATCCCACAATTGTCAGCACATTACGCCTGCCGGCAGACGCTGCGCATTCGCAATTCAGAATAAATCTTTTGAGTTGCGTTGCCATTGGCAATAGTCGTTGTTTTCATAAGAGTGTTTGGCATCATGCAAGTATGCCCCCGTCATGCGCTTCACTCACGTGCTCCTCGTTCCACATCCCAGTCTGCGACTTACCTGAAAAGAGAGAGAAAGAGAAGGTCGTATATAATAAGATTAAATAATTTTGGTAGGCTATGATTCTTCCTTTCAAATATTATAAAAGGCCCAAGTCATGTTTCGTATGCCAGCCTTAAACCTCTTTTTCTATAACACACTTCTCTCCCAGGCGATGCAGCGCGTCGTGTGCATCAAAGATGGTAAGCTTAACCAGAAGCTGAAATCTAATTAACCCAACCTTAAGCAGGACGCTCTGATCAGGCCTCTTCCTGGGACCAGTTGGCCCTAATCGGGGGCCTCAGGACATCTAGAGAACTGCCTACGGAGCACAACGAGTTCCCGGACTGTATGGTGTATCTGAATTACTTGATCAATGCCTTGACGCTCTTGCCAGATGCTATGCAGGTAGTTCGGCCCATCTATTTCCCCTTATAACCTATATTGTAATCTACTTCCGCGCAGCGTGGAAGACTCGGCTTTCTGGTTGTCCTAGTAATTATGTGGAACATATTCGTGCTCGAGCGTCTCTTGGCCTTTGAATTGACGCTGATCTGGTCATTGTGGTCTAACGATATCAGCTCCCTGACCTATGCCATTGTCATAAGCAGCATCACATTCACGAACCTCATTCACTCGATGCTCATCTACGAATCGATAAAGATGCATCACGGACGCCTGCGTGGCAGGAGAGGGGGGAAGTAACAAGTATGCAATAACTGCTCCAGCCCTCGACCAGAGTTACTCTTTGTCCACCTAACTGGGTCGTTTGGCCAAGACGCATAAACACAAGCATACACTAATATATGTCAGAGGATAATGCTTTAACCTTAAGGGTGCGAGTACGATTCACGGCGTGGCACCGGCCATTGCAACTTCAACTAGAAATTCTAGGTCGTTTGGTTCAACTAATAAATATGCCAAAATACGCACACACTCGGTGAGGGCCACAGACATTTACAAATGAATCGCAGCTGAGGGCTGCTAGTCCCGAAATAAATCCATTAAATATTTGCGGTTAAACGCACCAAAAACAAACCGCAAAAGTAAATCATACCCAAAGTAGACACTGGACCGGACATGGCCAAGAATTTTTCTCGGCTTGTTTCGGTCCCACTTTTTCCTCGTACGCAAAAATATTAGATTAGAAATTAGGACAACCATGCACAGCCAAGAGGCAGTCGGTCGCTCAGGCAGTAGAGCATAACGCCATTTACTTGATTGGAGATGGGTGTTTGGTCCTTTGGCAGGCCGAGCAATGGCGGCGGAAGGCCTCTAACCATCGTCCAGCAGAAACTCTAAATGGTTCATGGTGAAACATAAATCATTGAAGCTGACATTTCACCATTTTCACTGAACTTGTACTTATACATACATACATTCGTATGCGGCTAAGGGTCGGTCTATTTGCTTAAAGGATAGGCAGAACTCACGCAGAATATCTTGATTTTCCAGAAGATGCTTGAAGTGAAAATAACCTGAAGCGCCTGATGGTGCCTGCTAAGCCATTGACTGAAATTCATAGGACAAACCTACAGGATAAGGATTTAGAGCAGGGACTTTCCTTATTCGCCAACAAGGCCAAGCTGCATAAATCATTCTGTAAATTCAATGTGGACATCACTGGTATCACAGGCCACACACATTGCCCCACAGACGCACTGCATTCGCATCCGGCCAGTGGCTCGACAGGGATTTGCAAAGTGCAGGCCTCTGGGCAGCGAGGAATTGCGCAAAAATTAAAGAACATATCCATAAGTTAGATATGCAATAATCGATAATAATCGGATATCGTAAGAAAGGGCTGATAAGTTCCAGGACTAACCATATAATATGTTATAAGCTTAGTGCATATGGTTGGTAGTCCAGCTCTTTTTACTTGGTGAACTTCAAACATACTATCGACCACTACAGAAAGTTAATACGTTACTATCATCAAATATCGGTAGTTCCCCACTTCTACTTTATTCTTTCGTGTCGGCTTGATATCCCTTCGAATACCTATTGGCCGACGAGATTCCTGAACAATAAAAAACTAGATATAATTATATATATATAATTAATAAATGGTATTAAATAGTGTTAGTCTTCAGTCAAACCTGAAAATATCTGAATATTGAACGGTGTGCACGATTTTCAATATTTTCCTTAACCCTGCCATGGTTAATGAGGTCAAATAAATCAGATCTCTAACAAGTTGGCAGCGCATTTTGATTCTCTGGCCAGGTCGGCTTGTACCAGTCTAGTTGGCAGCTCCCCAGCTTCATTGCTACAAATTGTCAAGTTTTAGTATTATAAATACGGACTAATATACGGAGCAGAAAATGATGTTGCTGAAATCACTGCGAAGCTCGGGCACATCTCGCTCTGTGCTGCTTTTGCGGTGCGCTGGCTCGTTGAGAAATGCAATTAAATTTGATTACGATTTGGTAGTGCTGGGCGGTGGCTCCGGCGGTCTAGCCTGCGCCAAGGAGGCCGTCGCGTATGGCGCACGTGTTCTATGTCTCGACTATGTGAAGCCTACGCCCGCTGGTACCAAGTGGGGCGTGGGCGGCACCTGTGTAAATGTGGGTTGCATACCCAAGAAGCTGATGCATCAGGCCTCTCTGCTAGGCGAAGCCGTGCACGAGGCCGTCGCCTATGGCTGGAATGTCGACGACCGTGACATTAAGCCTGACTGGAAGAAGCTGGTCAAGGTCGTGCAGAACCACATCAAGTCCGTCAACTGGGTGACCCGCGTGGACTTGCGCGACAAAAAAGTGGAGTATGTGAACTCCATAGGTAGCTTTGTGGATCCCCACACCATTCAGTACAAAACGAAGCAAGGAGAGCTGAAGCAGCTGACTGCTCAGTACGTGGTGATCGCAGTGGGCGGCCGACCACGATACCCGCCCATAAAGGGGGCCTTCGAGCTCGGCATCACCAGCGACGACATATTCAGCTACGAGAAGGAGCCAGGCCGCACCTTAGTCGTCGGCGCTGGCTACGTGGGCCTCGAGTGCGCCTGCTTCCTGAAGGGTCTTGGCTACGATCCCACAGTCATGGTGCGCTCGATCGTGCTGCGCGGTTTCGATCGGCAAATGTCCGAGTTCCTGGCAGCCATGATGACGGAGCGCGGCATACGCTTCCTGAATACCACCATTCCTATGGGGGTGGACCGCACGCCCGAAGGCAAGCTGCTTGTTCAGTATCGCAACACGACGACCCAGACGGATGAGAGCGACGTCTTTGATACGGTCCTGTGGGCAATTGGACGAAAGGGTCTAATCGGGGACCTCAACCTTGGCGCTGCTGGTGTGCAGACCTACAACGACAAGGTCATTGTCGATCACACAGAGGCCACCAATGTGCCCCACATCTTTGCCGTGGGCGACATCATCTACGGCCGGCCAGAGCTGACTCCAGTAGCTATTCTAGCTGGTCGCCTGCTGGCGCGACGCCTCTTCGCTGGCTCGACACAGCTGATGGACTACACTGATGTGGCCACCACTGTATTCACACCACTGGAGTACTCCTGCGTGGGCATGTCCGAGGAGATGGCTATCGAGAGGCTGGGTGCTGATAATATAGAGGTGTTTCACGGATACTACAAGCCCACCGAATTCTTCATACCGCAGAAGAGTTTTCGCCACTGCTACCTCAAGGTGGTGGCCGAGCTGTCTGGCGACCAGAAGATTCTCGGACTGCACTACATTGGGCCCGTGGCTGGGGAGGTTATTCAGGGATTTGCCGCCGCTCTGAAGTCTGGCCTGACTGTTAAGACGCTGCTTAACACTGTCGGCATTCATCCCACAACCGCAGAAGAGTTCACTCGGCTATCGGTGACTAAACGTTCTGGTGTAGATCCAACACCAGCTTCGTGTTGTAGTTAAATGTACTAGTTATGTTTTTGAAATACACAAGTCTTATTATACGTTTGGCAAACTATTTTAAGAAACACAACTGTCATAGAAGAGTAAGATTCATGGAAAATTCATGGAATACGCGCCTCACCGGCATTGAGTTGAAACATTTCTATGCGAGGCGTACTCTGGCGTTTGAAGAGAACGCACACGTTCCGTTGATATGACGTTTTAATATAAATGACGATGAGATTCCGTTGTGCGACTATTTTTGGCATATGACGTCGTAATTTATGAAGTTCACGCTAAAAAAACAACAAAAGGGCAGTAAGAAGGGCCAGTTACAGACGGTTTTCTTCTTTCTTTGCTGTGCTTTCTTTAGTTCCGCCCGTTGCACGAGTATCTCTGACCCGCAATCCACGGCGTGCAATCTGGCTGCTGGCGCCGCAAAGTATGCCATGTTTTTCTAGGCCTGCCATTCACACACCACAACAACAGCAAGTGGCTCGGGAACAGCAAACTGTTGGGGGAGTTTCGCAGGCCAAAAAAAGTTTGATTAATGTTTACTTCCGATTTGCATAAATCTTACTTTAGCATTTTGGGCAATTTTAGTTGCACGTTTTTGAGGCTGGCTCGAGTCTCGCTCGCCTCGTGTCGCTTTGTTATAAATTATTTTTTTATTGGTCCGGTTTTCTGACCTCTTCTGGTCCATGCCCATTGCCGTATGCTCCCTGAGTGCAATCTTGGGTCCTAGATGGGCGTGGGCTGGGCCACACAAAGCGCAGCAGCGAGCTGCAGGTATAAAAGTCTGGGATGCAGGTCAAGGCAGCTCGTGAATGCTTGTAGGAACAGCTCAAGTAATTCACAATTCTCTCCACTTCCACGGCTGCGACCATAACTCTTCGATTAGCTTTGCCAACTCATTTAATAAATGGTCTAGGTGACAGTAAGAAAATACAACAAATTTACCCAAGAAAGGGAAGAGCTGCTTTTAGTTTCCATTGCAACACCTTACAATCATAAATTGCGAGCACACCTAGTCCACGAGCCCCGCCTCAGTCCGTTGGCCATCCACAGCTCGCGCTGCACAACTTCTGCCCCCTCCAAAAGTTTGGCAGTAAGTTAAAGCACCCGCGGGTAATTCGATAAAGCGTAAAATTTTGCACTTAAACTATTTTCTTTCTGGCATTTGCCAATTGCATTCGTTATTGCTGCCGTTGCACCTCCCACTGAAGTTATTCTTGTTGTTGTTGTTGTTGTTGGTGCACGGCGCCAACTGCTGTCAGTTGACCTGTGTAAGGGGTTTTGAATTACAATACAATGCAGTTGGAAAATTCGTGGCTGGCATTCGAAAGTTGAACTGATTGCGTGTTTCCAAGTGCACGAGTATATTGAGTCATTTTCTCCTTTTGGCTCTGCAAGCCGGTCTGCTAAATTCCCAAAAAACTTTAGTGTGGGAGAAAAGCTAGCGAAAATCTCTCTCCGAAGTAAGGAGCAACCAATAATAATGAATCTGGCTACTCAGCCAACCAGCTGTATGCTTTGTATGCTCTCTTGATGCCAGTACTTGTTTACATTATTTATATACAGTTTCCGAAGGCACTTAAATACAAATTTGAATTGAATCACTACTTTTGGGATCAACAATTTGTGCAAGGGCAATGATTTTCATAAAATGAGTTCATCAATTCTCGATTCTCTATTTTGATAAGAGATATGGATCTCCGAATCCCTTAGAATATGATAGACAGTAGCCCCGCTGTACCCGGTAGCTTTAAGGTTGATCATATGAATTTCTCATATAGACAATGGCATTAAGATAATAGTAAAATCGTTTTCTAATCTAACAGTTTTACCAAAATACTACAAATTCCATAAAGGGACTTTTAATACATATTATGTAATATTAAGATTAAGAATATTACTATTCAAATCGAAAATTTACTGCTCGAGTTACCCTGAACCCTCCAAGCTGATCTAATCATTGTACACTTCTTTAATGCACACATACATACACATGGATCCATATGCATGCATAAGCCCACGCTCTGCTAACGGCGCAGTAAGCAGCGACTGCGCTGCAATGTGGGCAATATTATGAGAATTTATTTGT